TTGAATATTCATTTCTAGAGAAGAATTATTGGTGATCTCCGGAAGCGTTTCCGGGCGCTCTTGCCTCGCCGCCGGCTACATTTTCTCTGAAAACGATGCTCCCGCTCGAGCGTTGGCTTGACCCTAAAAGTGCGCCCTTGGATGCCCAGCTACGACAACAACGGCTCCCTCTCGATATTTCCGAGACACCCTGGCCAGAGAGGCCTCCGAACTCAGGAACGGCGCTCTCGCTCGAGATCTCCTCGCAAATCAATCAAGTTGGCGGGGCCCAGCCACGACGACAAAGGCTCCTGGTCGATACTTCCTCACGATTTACTCCGAGAGCCCCTGGCCAGGAAGGCCCCCGAACTCAGGAACGGCGCTCTCGCTCGAGACTTCCTCATGATTCAGTCAAATTGGTGGAGGCCCACATGCGACGACAAGGGCTCCCGTTCGATACTTCCTGGCGCGCTGCCCACTGCGGCCCCCAACACACAACCCACTGAGGCCCAGAGTAAGCCCGCAGGGACCGCAGCATGCTGCCCGCAGGCCCTCCGGCACAGCTCACATAGGCGCCAAGCGCGCCCACAGAGGCTCTCCCGCGCTGCCCACAGAGGCCCCAAGCGCGCCCACAGAGGGCCCAGCGCGCTGCCCACTGGGGCCCCCGACACAGCCCACAGAGGCTCCAGCCCACAGAGGCCCCAAGCACGCCTTCATAGGCCACAGCGCGCTGTCCAATGAGGCCCTCTGGCACAGCCCACAGAGGCCCAAACCCCCGCCCCAAGCGTGCCCACGGAGGCCCCAACGCGCTGCCCACAGAGGCCGCCCGTTCCACAGAGGCCCCCGACACAACCCACAGATGCTCCAGCCCGCAGATGCCCCAAGCGTGCCCACAGAGGCTCCCGCGCGCTGCCCAATGAGGCCCCCGAGACAGCCCACAGAGCCCCCGCTGCCCACTGAGGCCCCGACTTCCTACAGAGGCCCCACACGCGCAAGCAGAGGCCCGTGCCTACAGAGGCGCCAAGCGCGCCGAAACCCCCGCATGCTGCCCACTGAAGCCCTCCGGCACAGCCCACAGAGGTCCCAGCCCCAGCCCACAGAGGCCCAACCGCGCCCACAGAGGCCCCAAGCGCGCCCACAGAGGCCCCAGCGCGTTGCCCACAGAGGCCCCAGCCCACAGGCCCTAAGCGCGCCCACGGAATCTCGAGCGCGCTGCCAAAGGAGGCCCGCGCCCACAGAGGCCCCAATCGCGCCCAGAGGCCCCCAGCCCGCAGATGCCCCGAGCGCGCCCACGGAGGCCCCCGCGCGCTGCCCACCGAGGCCTCCGACACAGCCCACACAGAGGCCCCAAGCGCGCCCACAGAGGCCTTAGCCCGCAGAGGCCCCAAGCGCGCCCACAGAGGCCCCAGCGCGCTGCCCGCGCCCACGGATGTTTCGCGCTGCCCACTGAGGCCCCCCAACACAGCCCACAGAGGCCCCAAGCGCGCCCACAGAGGCCTTAGCCCGCAGAGGCCCCGAACGCGCCCACAGAGGCCCCCGCGCGCTGCCCACTGAGGCTCCCGACGCAGCCCACAGAGGCCCCAAACGCGCCCACAGAGGCCCCAGCCCGCAGAGGCCCCAAGCGCGCCCACAGAGGCTCCCCCGCGCTGCCCACTGAGGCTCCCGACGCAGCCCACAGAGGCCCCAGACCACAGAGGCCCAAGCGCGCCCACAGAGGCCCCAGCGCGCTGCCCACTGAGGCCTCCCGACGCGGCCCACAGAGGCCCCAAGGGCGCCCACAGAGGCCCCAGCCCGCAGAGGCCCCAAGCGCGCCCACAGAGAGGCCCCCGCGCGCTGCCCACTGAGGCCCCCGACGCAGCCCACAGAGGCCCCAAGCGCGCCCACAGAGGCCCCAGCGCGCTGCCCATTGAAGCCCCCGGCACAGCCAACAGAGAGCGCCGCGCTCCCGACACCCAGGCACCCAGGAGTCACGCCCGTTGTGGCCCCATGTGCATGCCCTTCGTGGCCCCGCTGTCGCCAGTTGTGTCCCCCTCACTGTCCTACGTGGCCCAATTGCTACCCTCAGTGGCCCCATAGTTGCCTTCTGTGGCCCCGCATTATCTGCCCTTCGTGGCCCCCGCTCGTTCCCTTCGTGCCCCCGCTGTCGCCCTTCGTGGCCTAGTTCGTGTCCTTCGTGGCCCTGCTGTCGTTCTCTCTCGCTCTCGCTTTCGCTCGTCGTCGCCGTCGTCGTCGTCGTCGCCGTCGTCTTCGACGTCGTCGTCGTCGTCGTCCGTCGTCGTCGTCGTCGTCGTCGTCGTCGTCGTCGTCGTCGTCGTCGTCGTCGTCGTGGTCGGTCCCCTGTCCGTCCCTCTTGCGGTCGGGTCGACGGTCCGCGGCCGCCCCGCCGATCAGCGCTGCCGCTGGCCAGGCCGACCGTCCGCGGCCGCCCCGCCGCTTGCCGGGGCCCAGCCTGCAGGGAAGAAAGGTCTACCCCCCAAAAGGGGTTCGATCGAAGACGAAGATTACGGGTATCGAGGGTTTGGGAAATACGCGTTATTGGACACTCGAGCATATAGGGCGAGCGGTCTTAAACTTATTGTTGTTGTTGTTGCTGCTGCTGCTGTTGTTGTTTGTGTTGTTGTTGTTGTTGTTGTTGTTGTTGTTGTTGTTGTTGTTGTTGTTGTTTTTGTTGTTCTTGTTGTTGTTTTTTTATTGTTGTCGTCGTCGTCGTCGTCGTCGTCGTAGTAGTGGTAGTAGTAGTAGTAGTAGTAGTAGTAGTAGTAGTAGTAGTAGTAGTAGTTTTGTTGTTGTAGTAGTAGTTGTTGTTGTTGTTGTTGTTGGTATTGTTGTTGTTGTTGTTGTTGTTGTTGTTGTTGTTGTTGTTGTTGTTGTTGTTGTTGTTGTTGTTGTTGTTGTTGTTGTTCTCTCTTTTTGGACGAACAAATATTGTTGATCCCCCCCACCGGTGCATACTTTTCTTCTCGATCAAAGTGTGCCCCTCGACGCTCGCACCTTGTTTTTTGACAGGGAAAGTTTTGATGCTCAAACTGACCCCCTGGCCCCCAGCTTGCAACAACAACGGCTCCCGCTTGAGACTTCCTCACAATTTAGCCAGGACCCCCGCTCCCGCCCGAGACTTCCTCGCATTAAATTCAGGAATCGCGCTCTCGCTTGGGACCTTACAATTTATTAAAGAATCGCACTTCCGGCGCCCTGGAGTCGCTCTCGCTGGAGACTTGCTTGCAATTTATTGAAGAATAGCGCCCTTGCGTTGGAATTTCTTGCAATTTGCCCAAGCGCCGCGCTTTCGGTACCCAGGCACCCAGGAGTCGCGCCCACTGTGGCCCCATGTGCATGCCCTTTGTGGCCTCGCTGTCGCCGTTTGTGGCCCCCTTACTGTCCTACGAGGCCCAGTTGCTACCCTCAGTGGCCCCATCGTTGCCTTCTGTGGCCCCGCATTATCTGCCCTTCGTGGCCCCTGCTCGTTCGCGCTCTTCGTGGCCCCATACGCATTCCCTTCGTGCCCCCGCTGTCGCCCTTCGTGGCCTAGTTCGTGTCCTTCGTGGCCCTGCTGTCGTTCTCTCTCGCTCTCGCTTTCGCTCGTCGTCGCCGTCTTCGTCGTCGTCGCCGTCGTCGTCGACGTGTTCGTCGTCGTCGTCGTCGTCGTCGTCGTCGTCGTCGTCGTGGTCGGTCCCCTGTCCGTCCCTCTTGCGGTCGGGTCGACGGTCCGCGGCCGCCCCGCCGATCAGCGCTGCCGCTGGCCAGGCCGACGGTCCGCGGCCGCCCCGCCGCTTGCCGGGGCCCAGCCTGCAGGGAAGAAAGGTATACCCCCCAAAAGGGGTTCGATCGAAGACGAAGATTGCGGGTATCGAGGGTTTGGGAAATACGCGTTATTGGACACTCGAGCATATAGGGCGAGCGGTCTTAAACTTATTGTTGCTGTTGTTGCTGTTGTTGTTGTTGTTGTTGTTGTTGTTGTTGTTGTTGTTGTTGTTGTTGTTGTTGTTGTTTGTTGCTGTTGTTGTTGTTGTTGTTGTTGTTGTTGTTGTTGTTGTTGTTGTTGTTGTTGTTGTTGAACATTATTTATTCTAAAGAATAATTATTGTTGGGCCCCCTGGTGCACGCCCCCCCTGCGCCGCCTAGGCCGCAGCTACATTTTCATCATTTTCGTGAGGAAGCCTCAGGTAAAACGATGTGATCCAGATCCGGTTGTTTTGTTGTAATCCGTTTTTCCCTTGCAAAAAACACTATAAAATGACATTTCTTGTTCTAATATAATCAAATTTCAAGAATCCCTTGCAAAAAATAAGGTAAAGTGGACATTCGCGCGCGCAAGACGAAATCCTTCCAAAAGCTTAGTGTTCGGAGCGATTTTAACATAAACACATCAAAAAACCAATGGTTTTTCAACAAAAAAATGTCAAAATCTCATCCCGCGCGCTCTTGCGGATTCGTAGGAAACCCAACACTTTTTAAACATTTCTGTCAAACGGGCTTTTGCGAGCAACTTTTTCGAACTTCTGCGACAACGGTTGCGCACCTGCCAGGGCCATCATCCCTGTCAAATAATACCATGCGGGACACATTCGTTTTTTCTTCGCGCGCGCACGCCGTCGTCGTCGGCCGCGGGGCCCTGAATAGTAGCCACGGTCGTCCGCATGCCACGAAGTGAAGTGTCCGAACGTCATAGGGCGGGAAGCTGGGTGTGGGTGGTGGCGAAGAGTCGTTTGGAAATTTGGTAGAGCTTGAACCGGCCCCCCCACAAAGTGGGGGTATTGCCCGCCTCCTATGAAAACCCTGGCACTGGTGAGAACGGAGTGTCCCCAGTCTTAAATGATTGTTGTTGTTGTTGTTGTTGTTGTTGTTGTTGTTGTTGTGGTTGTGGTTGTGGTTGTGGTTGTGGTTGTTGTTGTCCTCTTTTTCACCCTTCGCAACGAGAGGATGTAAGAAACCAGCGCGGAGGTCGTCACGCCATGAGCCTGAAATGCCAGGCGGCGGCCGCGCGAGAGCGGCGGGTCCCGCGCCTCGCGGCGAGCGGTCAG